GCTTTTGGGGCCGCATCCACATATGAAAAATGCTTTCTTGATGGTGGGCCCTCAATGTGAAACTTGGATGAAGCTTTGTCAAGCCCATTGCCAGGAAAACAAACGAAAGGTTCCGGAGTCTCCGCTACTCACTGCACGCAGAAGGGGGCTGACTGTGCATGCAACACCCTGGTCCCAGCAATGGGGCCGCCATTTCGGAAGCCCTTCCTTCTTCCGGCAATATTGCGGCCCCGTTTTTGGGGCCATCCGTATAATACTGTTAAATATATATATATATGTATATGTATATATATATAATCTGTATGTATATGTTTCACAGAGGGTTCCTAACATTTCATAACCTCACAAACAGTTTTGGGCGGTGTCAAGGGAGTGATTGAAGGCAGATTTTCCGGTAAATGTGTCCCATACATCCATGTTTGAACCTCCCACATTCCCAAGAATGAGGAAGTTTATATCAAACTGCTGGATGTCCCACAATCACCATGTAGAATATGTAGATATAAGATGATATAAGGAAAATGGAGGGCCGATGTTTGGACCAAGCCGCTTGTGCCAAAGCCATCCAAACGCTCAACTCTTCAGGCTGGTTCCAGTTTTTGTCCCTCACTTTTGTCCAAGCTCTTTGGGGTTTTACTGGTGTTTTAATGGTGTTTTATATTCCCTTGTCACAAAAATACAGCAGGTGCCAAAAATATCCAAAAATCATAGTTCACTATAGTTCCCTCTAACAATCTCATATTTTTGGGGTAGACTGGTAGACCCCATTCTTCAGATGCATCCAACTGAAAATATGGCATACTGCCGAAGTTTCCGTGTGGGTAGGGAAGATCATTGAGAAAGCGATAGACCAATGGCATGCGGGATAAGCTATTTTCAGACATACCCAGTCAAAATTCTCGGTGCATAGTCCCTCCTTGGGCGAAAATTGCGTACATCGCAAGTGCGCTGCGAAGATGCGGTCCTTGTCGCCTTGGCGCCAGATCCCGGGCCCATGGACTTAGACTTAGACTGGTTAGTAAGGGGCCAGTCATAAAATATCCCGAGGGATGTAAGCCCTACAGATCCTAGAGGTTTCCCCTTCCGCCTGAAGCCTCCTCAAGCTGAAGCAGCTCCGCGGCAATCTCCGCAGGTGCTGCTGTGGCTTGGGCCTCACTCTCCTGGGAGGTGACAATCCATGGGTGGGGGTGGCCTATCTTCAAAGATATCAACACCGAATATAGCCAAACAATACATGCCCCCCCCCCAAACAAAAATATGTGGATTCATGGAAAATTGGGGATCTAATGAACATGATTCCAACATGTGGATTGATGGTTGATTTACTGTGTTCTTTCGTTTTGATGAACATGTCAGCCAACCAGGATGGATTTAGGTGGATATTCACCATCCATTCTTTCGAAGTTGTTGACCGAGACCCAGTTGGATTAGTCTTAGACAAGACCTTCCAAAAAGTAATGTGCTTTTGAAATTCCAACCTTGGTCCATACCGTACATACTGTACCCAAAGCCATCCAAAACAACAGTCGATATCCCCGGTGTCCCCAGTTTCAGTCTAATAACTGGCCGCTGTTAGTGCCTCAACAGGGATATGTTTGAAACTACATGAAAGTTACACCCCCCAAGCCAAACCATGGCGGATGTAGGTGATGAAATCACATATTTGGGACCAAAAGTAGGGGTTGTGGAATGTTGGGATGAGATTAGCCGCTGGAAATTCGACCAGGCAGAAAATCTCCCATGGATGTTGGGATGTACATTTACAACTTTAATTTATTTCAATTTCGAAACAATGAGAATTTCACAGTGACACCTTTGATTCAATGGATTGCAAGGGATTTTTTCCACCAGGGTGGGCGTTTTCCCAGTTTTCCCATCAAATCTGGAGCGTCAACCGACACCATGACCATGGAGGGCCGACTCCTTAGGCTCTGGCAACAATGGTGAAGCCATGGTGCTGCACAAAATAAAGCCAGTTCTGGTGCAACATGAAAGTAGATAGAAAAGTTGGAAACTCTAAAATGATGATATTTATATATATATATATGGGTATGGGTCAATACCTATTAATACCATTTTTAGTGGGATGAACATCCATTTACCAGCTATTTTGATGTTCACCAGGGGTACAAGGTTTTGACACACTGCCATATATATATATTACCAACACCAAAAACATCTTGCATTTTTCCCCCTGTGGGGAGAGTTTAGCACAGAAAATCCATGGATTTCTCTCAAGAAATGCTATCTTAAAAATGTTGTGTCACTTCACAAAATCCCATCAACCAGGCAGTACAGTATATTAACGGATCCCAAACCAACAGGAATTCCACTGGCTTCTGAAAATGGGAGATACCCTCCATTCCATTGCCATCAAAAGTCGGGGATTTTTGAGCTTCTCAAACCATGGAATTTGGGTTCCAACTCCCTTAGATATCCTGAAATGCCATGGTTTGAAAAATACCAAAACATCCCAACACAGAGTCCAAGGATCGCTTCCCGCAGCTTCTCCTCCAGCGTTTTGCGTTGCTGCCACAGTTCGGCCGCCGAAGGCGTTGCTGCCCCAGTGATCTTGGCGAAGCCTTCAGGGCTTCGGAGGGATGGCTCCAGGGCACCTCAGCTGGTACCAATGGAATGGTGGAACAAAAACTGCGAAACGTGTTGGTTTACCCTCCAGTCATCAGGGCAAACATCCATGGATTGGCTTCCCAAACTATGCCCCTCCGTTCAAAAACTGCGGGAATTCCCATGGCCACGTTTGGATGACGGGATCCGGAGAGTACAGGTTACAACCCAAATATGAACTGGTGTTAAAATGTTAAAGACGTTTAACTGGTTGGTGGTTGAACCCTACCCCTCAGTTCGTCAGTTGGGATCATTATTCCCAATATATGGAAAAATAAAAAATGTTCCAAACCACCAACCAGATAAATATTGGTCTGACTTTCACTAGCAAACCCCCCGGCACTTTGATGGGATGCAGGGATGCAGAAAAAAGCCTCCCAGTAGCTTCGCTTTTCAGGCAATACAATCAATGACCAATACGTTGGTTCCCTGGTTCACAAATTCTGGTTTGTACTCATTGAGCTTTTGATACAATCATGGGCTGCCACTGCCTATCGTGATATGTCTTAACAGTCACAGAGTTTCACCCAGGAATACACATGCCTAAAGTGGATCACATGTTATCCACTTCGAGATGAAAATGAGCGGAACCCAGATCATGAGCTTTGTTATCTTTGTTGGAATGGTTGGAATTGTCTGCTTTGGTTGGAAAAACACCTAATTTCGCAAGCTTATAGACCTGACTCCTTGTCGCCTACTTGGACTGATGTTGGAGCCAAGATTATATAGGAAGAAAACGGGGAAAGTCCAGTAGAAAATTGTCAGAATTGGGATAGATTCGGAAATGTGAAACCACAAAAAATCCCGAAAAAAAACTCATCCGTGTTTTGATTCCACTTCCAGCTTACTTATTATTTGAGTTTTGTTTTGGTTTTACCAAGACCCACCATCATACCCGGCCTTCAAAGGTTGCATGAGCCTCCTCTAAACCTCGAAGCTCAACTGTCATGGGAAACCCTGGTTTTTTACCATCAAATATGTATATGCATTGATAAAAGTTATATATAAAGTTACATACATCATAAATAATTATACATACATACATATATACAGTGTATATATATATATATATGCATGTATATATATGCGCACGTATCTACGTGTATCTATACATATATATATATATATATTCACATATTTATGTATATTCCCCTCATCCAAGTTTGGGAAACGAATGAGACTAGAGACGCAACGACTCCGAGATGACCAACATGATTCGGGCTGAAGACAAGTAGAAACAGTCAGAAACCCTGGACATTTCACTAGAATTGGAGATGTGTTTATTTTTTTTCCTACTGTATACATATTAAATATATTAACAAGAGGCACACAGCCGACAGATCTAAGCCGATCTGTTTCAATTTCCAAATTTCGACCCAGAAACGCTCACCTCCCGGCAGCGGCAAAGCCATTTGCCTCATGAACAAGCTCCTGTCCGCCGTGCCGGCGAAGGAATGTCCCAGGTAGCTGAATCATGGTGACCCTGTCATGGGGTAAATCAAAGTTGACATGACATTATGATATTCTATGACTATGGAATTAATAGATATGATGTCATGTCAATATCATAATATGGATAAGTATGGATAATTATCATTATAATATCAATGTCATAGACATACTATGGATAATTATTCTATGATATTCTATAGATATTCTATAGATATTCTATAGATATTCTATGGATATTCTATGACTATGACTGTCTGGTGAATGTCAAGTAACCACCTTTTTTGTATTTTTTTGTTGTGAAAAAAAGTCCCGAGGTGCCACACACAGAAGTCCCAGCAGAACCAGAAAACCTTAAGCTGGAACACGCAGCATCTGTTCCAATGCCAGAAAAGTGTGAAGGAATGCGAAGGACCATAAACACTCTAGATCCAATTGCAGTCACAAAGATGCTCTTTTTCGGTGTTGGGAGCAAAAAGTGTCGCCACAACAAAAAAAAAAAAAGGTCCAAAATTTGGTGGTTTTGTGAATCAGATCATCTACCAAGTAAAGAGATGTTGGATATCGGGAGGTAGGTCTCCGAAGAGACATATGGCTGGGTAAGGAGTATCTCTGGGAAAAAAACGAACTAAAGTGATATTGAGATTCGCAATTTTCCAATATGTGGTTGTTGCTTGCTTCAATAGGTCTGGTAAGCCTGCACTTCAAGGCCTTCGCCGTGTCTAGATTGGAACGGCATGACTTCAATTCAACGCAAAAGCCTGCAGCATGTGCGTCGATTTGTCTATGCATTTTCACATCACTTCAAATAACAAATAGATACATGACTCCGCACAATCGTTGCATGGCGCTGCCACAAATGATTTCACCTTTGGAACACCAGGGAGATTTCTAGCCTCCCACGCCAGGGGCTTGACGTTTCGGTCCTCACTCTCTGCACTTGCTGCGCCTGTTCGGTCGCAGCTGCCAGAAGGCCTTCCTCGAAGTCCCGATAGTCAGCCCAGATCTCAGGTCCATAACCTGTTCGCTGCGCTGATCAAACATAGGGAAATCCCTAGGAAGTGCAGTTGCCAGTTGTTAGTGGATATACCCTCTGGTAAACTAACATAACCATGGAAAATCACAATTCTTAATGGGAAAATCCACTATAAATGACCATTTTCAATAGCTATATATGTTAGTTTACCAGAGGGTACTTCACCATTGCGTCATAGGGGTCCGGGGAAAAAATGCCAACTTCTGGGTTTTTTTTTCACCCTCAACTGCACCCCCAAGTTTCTACAATAGATGGAGCTTTCAACCTCAACCTAGATGGGGGATTGTCCGGCAAGCCAATCCCAAACTGATGACTGGACGGTCACCAATAAATATAGATGTTCAGAAATATTTTTCAATAAAAAAAATAGCAGCAGAAAAAAAAACATGGTCTATTTAAGAACCTATGAGGTTTCGACTACCAAACCTGGGGATTCAAATGCTTTAAAGAGAAGATCGTGAGTTCAAGTAGCAAGAGATCGAGGCTTTGTCCAATCATTTCGCCATCTTTGGTGCTTAAAATATGGATACCACAGCTCCGTTGCTCTCTCACCACCGGATTGATGAAGTCATTTTAATTTGCCCCCATGATCCATTAATATCCATTATATAGACATCCCATTATCCATTATATAGACATCGCTTTGTTAGGCTTTGTTTCACTGTCACCCTCATGCGGCTTGGGCGGCTTATGCACGCAAAGGCTCCCAAGCAATTTCCGCACTGCCACCAGTGGGCCAGAGCGGCGGAAATAAGAATAAGAATAAAAATAAATAAAAATAAATTGGATCCCAGCAGAGCCTTAGATAATGAGTACTAGAGGGAAGCCATCTGATCAAGCATCAACTTAGACAACCCGGTTTACTGAACCCTACGCTATCAGGGAAGAAATAAGGTGGCACAAAAGACAACAGGTCGGTTGTGTCAAATTATGGCCTTAACATCGCCAGGCTACCTAAGATTACCTAAGACCAGAATCACACTTTCACGAGGCAGCAGCAACGGTAGCCGTGCATCTCCCAACATGAAGAATCTTATCTTTCAGTGTGGGGAGACGTACATATCTCCCATAATAATTCCCATTACTGCAAATATAATATATATATATACACACGTAAATACACCCCATTAGAGTATTTACAACTCTTCCATGCCTTCTCTCCCATTCCACCACCATTCACCATCCTACCATCCACCTGGATGAAGGCCCAAGATCTTCAGTGCTTCTTCGTAGACCTGCCGTGTGCGTTGCGCCGCGTCTCCCTCTGCACACTTCTCCCGGTAGAAGCTGCAGCGGGCCAGCCATACAGCGCTGCTGGGACAGGCGACCTTCGGCCCGGTCATCCCAGTGGTGGGCCCATTCCGAATGGTCGCCCGACGACAAAAAGGCCCAAAAAAGAGAATGGACAGTGTTTCCAGGTTGTAGATGATATCTATGTCATATGTCCAGAGTTCCAATTTTTCTCTTTATGTTGTTTGCATGATATTTACTTCATATTTGCAGATTGTCAGGATAAGTCATAGATGATATGTGCTACATTTCTTTTTTGGGCCTTACACAAAACATCTATAGGCATCCATAGACATCTATAAACATCTATAAAAAAATATAAAATATATATATATTATAGAGTATAGAGAGAGAGAGTATGTAACTTGTTGTATAGATGTTACATGATGTGACTGCTAACAGTTGGGCATCTCTAGCAAACTTGGTCCAAGTGGCACAGGCACGCTGGTGCAGCTCATCCAAGGTCTGGAATTCCTCTGGAGACGTCAACTTGGCCTCATCCTGGCACCAAACATGGAGGTTGTTTATGTATGGCGATGTTCGTCAAAACCCTGCCTAGTGAAGCCGTATTCAGTTACAAAGTCATAGCTGGTTCAGTCGAAGATGGTTATTCCAGCCACTATTAACCATCATTAACCATGTTTATTCCCCCAGTAATGTTGGCTCCTGATTAGTAGCTAGGGTCGCTATTGTGGCAAATTTTTCCAAATTATTCTGAAACTCATGTATTGTTTGGAGGGTTCGCTTCTGTGGCAAAACGAAATTGGGAGAACCCTTTTTTTTGAAGAAAAAAAAACTGTAATTGCTGAGAGGCAATTTTTTCTCAAAAACGCTGTAGCTCAGTCAAGTTTTTGCTCATCTCCCTATCTGAGCCTGTAAATGCATCTCTATCTGAGTAGGTTTGTTTGCTGGGTTCACTATTGCAGCAAGCTGTGCCAGAGCAGCCCCTGGAAGCCCAGAAGGGAAGCAAGCCATTTCCAAAATTGCCAAATTCAAACTCCAAGCCTTTCCCAAAGGAGCCAATCCCTTATTAAACCCTTATTAAAGAACAGCTTTTCCATAATTTTCCAAGGCCCTGGACCAGGAGAGGCCCCATTTCACTTTAGTAGGTTTGTTTGCTGGGTTCACTATTGCAGCAAGCTGTGCCAGAGCACCCCCTGGAAGCCCAGAAGGGAAGCAAGCCATTTCCAAAATTGCCAAATTCAAACTGCAAGCCTTTCCCAAAAGAACCAATCCCTTATTAAACCCTTATTAAAGAACAGCTTTTCCACAATTTTCCAAGGCCCTGGACCAGGAGAGGCTCCATTTCACTTTAGTAGGGTTGTTTGCTGGGTTCACTATTGCAGCAAGCTGTGCCAGAGCAGCCCCTGGAAGCCCAGAAGGGAAGCAAGCCTTTTCCAAAATTGCCAAATTCAAACTGCAAGCCTTTCCCAAAAGAACCAATCCCTTATTAAACCCTTATTAAAGAACAGCTTTTCCACAAGTTTCCAAGGCCCTGGACCAGGAGAGGCTCCATTTCACTTTAGTAGGTTTGTTTGCTGGGTTCACTATTGCAGCAAGCTGTGCCAGAGCAGCCCCTGGAAGCCCAGAAGGGAAGCAAGCCATTTCCAAATTGCCAAATTCAAACTGCAATCGGCAAAAAACTTCATCGGCAAATAAAACAATAGTAATTAGATTTCAATTGTAGCCAATTGAAATCCTTACTTAATTGAGGATATGTTTTTCTTTTGGGAATATTTTTTTTGACTTTCTACTTTAAAGAGAGTCCAGATATAGTTTGGGGGGGGGGGCCACACACTAATCAGGAACCAACATTAAGTTCCATAGGTTTTGATACATCGTGTCCAGTCGGCCTTCATCCCTATGAGACCATAAAAAGGGGAAAATGGGGACACCATGGCCATGGCCGTTTGAAGGAACCTGATGATAAGCCAATTGATTTTGAGATACTGTTCAGACATTTGACGACTCATAATCTTCATAACATTTCATCATAATCCCCAATAAACGAGGCATGTAGTAGGAAAAAGCTACATAAACCCCCAAGGACAACTCTGAGCCATGTTCAGCCAGGATTTTGCTCAACGCCCAATTCATTATCAGAGGAGTGCCAAGTTTAGCACCCTCTGGTAAACATACAAAAAACTATGGAAAGATCCACCATTTTTAATGGGAAAATCCACTATTTCTATGGCCATGTTCAATAGCTTTTTGTATGTTTACCAGGCCGGGTATGTTGATCACTTTTTATGAGGTTAATCCCCCAGATTGTGGTCATGGTGTGTGAAAAAAGGGGGTGGCACTTGCCCAAAATGGGCATGCTGAAAAAGTGTGTCAAGCCGCGTTTGTAGCTTGACAAAAATGCTGATCAAGACCAACCATAACCACCATAACCGTTATAACCCAACTCATCCAATATCTAGTCAAAAATCTGCGAGTTCTCATCCACACCCCATTTGTTGCTGTCATCTGTCCCCAAAAAAAAAACGGAAACTCCAAGGTATCCCTGGCCTCCAACCATTCCAGCCAGAAGGATTCGGGCAAAGCCACCTGTGCTTTGCAAGCGGAACTCGTCCGCAACAAGGGAAATATCTGGATTCACTCCCACAATTTTCCCATAGTTGGCATGTCTCAATATTTACTTTTGTACATATATGATTTGTATATATTTGTATTGATTATATCTGTATATATATAGAGTATTCTTATATATCCGTTTTCATTGATCCCATTTTCGCTTGGCTTCAACCCCATCCTTGCTTTGAAGCCCATGTCTTAGCACGGCTAATCCTAGATGACCTACAACAAAGTAGTGTCTTCGCTGGTTAAGTTAATATATGGCAATGCCAATTTTTACAGCAAAAAATGGAGATGATTACAGAATAGTAAAGTACCCATCCAAAGATTGACCCAATTAAGTAAGCATGGGCCACTCCTTGACTAGAATTGATTATTATGTATATATATATATAAATACAATTCAATGATGGTTTGATAAATTGTGTTTACCCACGTTATGTATCAGAAACCACTGTCACGTGGTGCCCATTCTTTTTAAAGTTGGTTCGTTGACCCCATTAACTATAGATTTATCCATCAACCATAGAATTCACCTTTTTGAACCAACTGAGCTAAGTAGAGGGAAGCAGCTTGCAGGAATTCACATTGCTTTCACCAAAAAAAACATCGAATTCACCGACTTATACACCAAATTACACCAACTTAGCGATCATAGATCAGCTATAAATCCCCTGAAATCCACCATTTTTCCAATAAGTTTTGTTTACATTGGCTGACTCCATGAAATCCCATGAAATCCCATGAAATCCCCATGTTTCCCATGGTTTCAATGCCTTAAAGCACCAACCAACTCGCTGCCACAGCAGCGCCTGCCGCCAAGGCGCCAGTGCCGCCGCTTCCTCCCGCGCGGCACGCAGCTTCTGCAGCGACGCTGTCTCTCGGTGGGCGCTGACTAAGGCGAAGTGGAGCTCTTGGTCGTAGGGATTTTTCTGCAAATCCTCGAGAAATAGATCAGAATTCATGGGATCATAGTTAACTTATGTTAACTTAAGGGGATTCTCGGATTTTTGATGGGTGGGAATATCATAGAGTTGACTTGGGGATCAGAATGAATCATGGGAATATCATGATGTTGGATGGATTTTTGTTGAGAAGGATTCTTGAGTGATGCTGTGGGTTTTGGTGATCATGGGGGATAGCGATAATGGTCCCTTTAGTTAGGCTCGTTACCATTTCTTTAACTATACTTGTAATTTTAAACTGGTTTAACTTGGCTAAGTGTGATAACGTAGTAGTTTCTACTTACAGAACTTATTTTCTAGATGACATATGTATCCAGTTCGAACTATATAATTACTGCTTCCGTGGTTTTTGTTTTCGGAACGATTTTTGCGGATTTAGAAATTCCACTGACAGTATTGTGCCTATTGCAGCCTGGATTATGTCTTGGGAATTCTTGGGATAGCAATAACTTTAAAAATATGATAACTATTTGGCACATGATCGTGAAATTCAAAACGGGAACGCGGCGTGATGCGTTCGTCTATCCACAGCTTCTGGGTTCGGACAGGGAAAATGAATTGGACATGACATGAGAGACTTTATATAAATCTGTGCGTACGAAATGGAAACTGATTGGTGAACGCTGAGCAGGATACACAAGCAACAAGACTGATAATTACCATTGGGTTTTAACAGCGCCATGTACCAATCCTGTAGCTAGAACAAGTGAGACAGGCTCCTGTTTGTCCACAAATCATTTTCAAAATCAACGGTTGGAAGGTCTCCTGATCCGAATATAGTATACATATGTATACATACAGTATGCATAGAATATGTATAGAATATGTATAATATTATACAAAATCATACAAAGAGAGGATATGAATGGAATTGAATGGATATGAGATGATATTACTGGTTGCTGGAGGGTTCAACCCATGCACAACATACTGGTCAGGTTTGACCATCATCACAACCAGCATTGAAACGACAATCGCAGCCCTCCCAAATGATCCTCCATCAACTGCGCGACGAAGTTTTTGCGTGTGGGCATGGGCACTTCGCCATCAAATTCCTCGAGGGAAGCGAGTTTGGAAGTCGATTCCATACTGGTTAGGTCGTAATAGTTTCCATATGTTCCGATAATGGATTATGAATGGATTATGATAATCCCCAATATCTTGGGTGCTACATAATCCCCTACAAGAATTATCAACCAACAAGGGTTTTGAACACTGCTAAAGTTGCCACAACAGTTTGGGGAAATGGATCAGAAAAGCTCTCGCAAGGGGCCACAGATCAATGGATTAGTGGATATCCATGGGAAAATGATCACCAGAAACCATGCTTTGTCCATCTTTGTCCCATCATTTCACAGACCCTTTCCGGCTTCAAGTTTCCAACCAATCCTATGATTTCTTCCTCAAATTTGGTGGATTTAACCGTGGGTTTTCCTTCCATCTTGATCCAGGTCTCCGAGTCTTCCTCTTCCTCCTCTTCGCTCTCCATGTCGTCC